GGGCGAAAGCCCCAAACTTCAAACGAGATACATCATGCCTCCCATTCAGCCCGCCAAGTTGTAATTTCGCTCGAGTCTCCGAGGTTTAAAGTTGGTTATCGCGAAGTAAGCATTCTCTCTCTTTCCTTCATTATCGCCGAACGAGTTGGCGCGAAGTGTTTCGCGCGAAGAGAATCCGCTCTCGTCGGCGTGCGGTGTCGCCAGTCATCGCGATCGCGAAGTTGTTTCCCCGGAAAACTGAAACCGCCGTGGTTCCTTCTTCCGAACCACCCACCCGCGTCATTTGGCCGCATCAATGAAGCTCACTTTCCTCTTCGCTGCGGTTTATTTATATCCGGTGATATCGCGCGAACGTGCGAGACGTGTATCGTACTCGTCGTCGAGTAGATCGTTCAGGAGCGCTACGACGGTTGATTACGAGAACGGGTTACAGCCAATTGCATCGAATGTTACACGCGGTGACGTGAGCGGTGAAACGATGAGCCGTGTTCTCTCTCCTCTGTGAATCACTCTCCTCTGTTTTGCAATCGGGTTATTGTATTATCTCGTTGGATCAAGTGAGTCGGCTCCCTCAATTGACAGACTTTGCACGTGTTTTTTGTCGGAATTAAGGAATTTATTCATCAGGTATGTAATTTCAGAGCGCCCAAAGGCGTTCTTATCGATACCAATCTTCCAACTTTTATCACTCGTTCAACTCAATTTTCAGTGGCGCACCAAGAGAGTTGTTCATCAGTCCACTATTTATCGAACGGAATTACGCTTTTGTATCTTCTTCTTTCACTGCCTACATGATAATTTGAAACTAACTTAACGATTGCCGCGTTTCGATACAATGCTGCTCAAAACATAAGACACAGTAGTTTTTCTCGACCATTGCACGAAAATGGTATAGCGACCATTCTTCCTTCTATGCCGCGTTTCCTAATACGTAACATTTGTAACGGTCAACTTTTGCTACTTGGATGGTATCTTTTTACAAAGTCACACTGGGATAATGGTCATCTGTATTGTTTCTGCCACAAGATTATGTGACAAAATTGCGATACCCAGTATTAAATTTCTCACGAGCGGTGCAGACGAATCGCGCGTGAAACTTCAGCTGTGTGTTTTGCCGCGATGAATGTTGCATTAAATTTAAGCGTCTTGCTTCAAGCGAATAGACTCCTTAAATATTCTGCGCGTCCGGCCGTTTAATCTAACGAATTGCATTGGTTATTGTTATCGTTACGTTTCACCTGCGCATTATTATTATATATACGCTGATTATCACTTGTCGCGATAATTTGCTCAGTCAGAATGGTTTTATCGCGACATCCACGTTAGTGTGCCGATCTATAACTTTTAATAATAGTATTATTGTTGCGAATCGTCGCGTTACGCAGCTATTATGTTATATGCGCGACGAGACGTTGCGTTGTGATGCAAAAAAGTTCAAAAGAGGCCTTGCTGCGGGTCGAGAGCGGTTTGGATGGGAAAGGTTGAGTGTTGCGAGATCCGACAAAGGGTATCTCGGAACAGCTCACCGAAATTAGACGCGGCGCAGTGCGCAGACGTTTCATATATTATTACAATTGTTAACAACGCGCAGCGACGTAGCGGGTCCTCCTATTTATAAGTAATGAGATCTGTCCGTGTGCCAAATTCGATCCAGTTATCTGGCCCGCCTGTCTCCTCAGGCGTGCTTCTATTCTAGGTAAAATCTAAATAGTCGGCGCGTACGGGAGGCGAATGCATCGAAAATAACCCGCGGAATACTCGTCCTCGCGTGTATTAGGGATAGCATGACAAGTATTCATATGCCGGCGCGCCGGGCCGCGCGCACGTCGTACGCGAACCAAGTCAGCAACCCTGGCCAACCCTGTGTCGGGTTGGATCTCTCCTCGGATTCGAATTCGCTCGAGCACCACGCGAAACGATGATGGCGTTTGCGAGCACGCTGAATATTTCACCCTCGCCTCCGTGAGTTACGGCCCGATACCGGGGAAGGCAAAAATTGCCGTGGCTGGTATGGGCGATAAGCGAGCGAGTTAATTCGCGCGCGATTCTGTGACAAATGAAGATACATCCCCTCGTACTTTCACAATTTTTCTTTTTTCTACTCGTGTGTTTCATCATGGGACTTGTGTATACATAGATTGAGAGTTTCCACACGAGAGGCTGCGGAGACCTGACCAGAAAAGGATGTCCCGTTGGTGCAGGTATTCGATCTTCGTCCGCTTTGACTCGTATTGGACATTTCGTCTAACTTTCTCCAATAGAAGTTAAGCTGGACAAAGATGGGATATAGTAGAATATGGCTATCCTTCAATCTTGTCTTCGCTCTTCTCATGAGAAGATAGAGTCTATGTAATGATAGGTGGGATAGGTGTAGAGTACATATATAGATTAGGTCAAACTCTAAGAAGGAATGATAGCGCGCTGTGTGCGGTGCATGACGTAATGTGTTAGGTAAAATCGAACAAAAAAATCCTCTATCATTTTGCAAATAATCACGGGGTTTTTTGAGTTATTATTTGAAGAAGTTTGACGATTTATCGCGCGCGCCATCATTCGTCAATCTTCTCTAATCGATAACCAAAAAATTGCTTATTTGCGAAATGGCAGAAAACATTTTTCTTCATTTTTTTTTTATCCAATGTACATGTATACACGATGCGTACTGAGAAAAGAAAATGGCTAATCTCATTGAGATTATAATCATTTTACGATGTTAATAATATTTTTTTGCGATTCTAATAAAAATGAATAGTAGCAACATGTATGCGTAGTAAAAAATAAAATGTTAATTTTAACATTTTTTACATGTCTCAGAAAGTCTACTCTAAATTTTGTGTAAAAATAACTCATTCGTGTTACTTATTGATGAATTACGAATGTTAATTAATTGATACTCACCTATTTTTTTTCTTACATTCATGTTTATTATTTTGACTTTAAACTCAGTTTTGTACAAATAACATAAAGAATAGTAAAAAAAAACATAAAAATAGTAAAAAAAAAATACACGGAGGAGTAGTTAAAATAACTTATGAGGAATGTCGATAGGACATTTTTGTTCACATTTTCGTCAATGTGAATGCGATATAAAGGTGAACACGTTATAACTTATTTTTCATGTTACATTAATATGATTTTAATTATTTTAAGTTAACTTATTCGTGATAGAATTTTCCTTTAATAAATTTAATTATTCTATATGTCAAAATTTACACACTGTAAAAATTGATGTGTTAAATTTAACATTTTATGTGTCCCGAATCATCCACTCTCATTTATGTATAAATTTAACACAAAACAAATGTAGTAAAAAGTAACACGCATAATATGTAAAAAATCAACACAAGAATTTAACACTTGAATACCGTCAGGAATTAGTTTGTTTTAAATTGACATATATATAATGTTAAATTAACTAAAATAAAACGTTACTTTAGAGAAGTATTAATCTATGGTTTTGATGAAATGAAAATGTTAAATTGATAAAATCTATATCTGACATATTAAATATATCAATTTAACACAACCTGTGGTTCCTAATGGTATTCAAATGTTAAATTCTTGTGTTAATTTTTTCCATATTATGCGTGTTACTTATTAACACATTTGGTTTGTGTTAAATTTACACATAAATGAGAGTGGATGATTTGGAACACATGAAATGTGTTAAATTTAACACATCAGTTTTTACACTGCAGTGATTTGAACACTTGTTTTTTAATTTTTAAGTTAATATTGAAGTGACTTTAAGAAATGTCATTTTTTCTTTAAATAATTTTATATGAACGTTAGATTAGCGTTAGATAAAATCAAAATAATATTCCATTTTTAAGTGATATACAAAAAAACGTTAAGTTATAAGGTGACATTAATATAACATATTAGAACATTATGAAAATAATGACATATAGATAATATGTTAATTTTACATTGAAATAACATTAAATAACATATGAAAATTTCAACATTTGTACGCTAGATTTCTAATTGTGTATTAAGTTATTATCGTTGATGTTGTAGTATCACTAGAAAAACTACTCTCCTTTAACTATAATTCTTTTACTCTGTGATTATAGCCAAAAAGATCAGGCACTTGATTCTCAGTGCGGGGCACTGAGATTCTCAGTATCGCGCTTATCGTCATATTCTGTACCGCATAGCACGCGATCACATTCAATCTTCTTGAACTAATAGCTGAAAATTTCATGTACTTGTTTGCTGAAAATGGCGGAAGAATTTTGTGCTCAGTTTGATCTAATCTACACACACATACACACACACACACACACACACACACACACACACACGCGAGCATTTTCCCACTTACCATCTCTATGTGTTCAACTGACAATCTGGGACGCTTGAACTGTCTTTGCTAACCCGATCAGATCAGTTCTCGTAATGAGAGGCTCTCGCGAAACTTTTTCCGCGACCAGGTCGCTCGACCTGCAACTTGAAGCCGCGCGTTTCATTAAACTCGATATAAGCCCGCACGTAAATCTCTTGCCGCGTGTTCGCGCACAACTTTCGGCGCAATGGAGCCTCGTAATGCTCTCGCATTTAAAACGTGCTTTATTAGTAGGTTAAATCGATCTCGAGCCGAGGGCGGCGCGGCAACTTTTCTCCGACATGCTCGGGAATCGACCGTTGCTCGACAAACTTGACCT